ATTTTGCACTGGGCCCTGCAAAGTATTTAGCCAGTGCTTTGGGAAAGCGATAGATCCACCTCCCACCCAAGGAGACAGATTATCCTTTTCTCTTCACTAGTTTAAGCATTTACCTTTCTCCCCAATGCAGTTTATCTGTCTGCCTGGCAGCCCCCCTTTTTCCTCAGTCTCCCCCCATACCTGCTCCTCTTTCAGTCCCCCGCTGTCTCCGGCACCCACACCATGGGAAACACCATGCCCCCTTGAGACCCATCTCAACAATGGAAAAGACCAGGATGCTAGGAGTGGCCAGGAGGGCCCCAGGGTGGGGGGTGTGGTTTCCAAGCCCCCCCACAGTGGGCAAAACTACCACTTAGCCTCAGACCGCCCCGTGATTATAGGCGCCAGGGGACTGAAGGGGGAGAAGAGGGGGGAGGGAAGAGGTGGAGGGATACCCTATTCAAACACCTATCCTTTTGTGCCCCCTTAATTTGGGGGTTCTCTCTTATCCCCATGGAGAAGCTGGAAGAGACTGGGAGGAGTGGCATGGCAGAGACAGATGCAGTAAAAATTCTTTGCAGCAATGCCAGACGACTTGGAGCCAGCCTGGACACTGCTGGGGAGTCATTTGTATTTTAGAATGAGAATTTAGAATGCCCAGGATGGAAAATTTTCAAGAATAGTCTATTTTTTTAGAACAAGCAACTTTACTAGTCAGGGTAATGTTATGTTCTCATTGAACGGTCTAGTAGTTCTTGTCCCCTTTTATGAAGATAGTTGTAATTGACTAATTATTCTGTGCCAGGTAGATTCTAGGCACTTTTACATATTATCTCATTTTTTTATTTTTTATTTTTTGGTGAGGAAGATTGGCCCTGAGCTAACATCCATTGCCAATCTTCCTCATTTTGCTGAGGAAGATTAGCCCTGAGCTAACATCTGTGCCAGTCTTCCCCTACTTTGTATATGGGATGCCGCCACAGCATGGCCTGATGAGCAGTCTGTGCCCAGGATCCAAACCTGCGAACCCCAGGCTGCCAAAGCAGAGCACGAGAACTTAACCACGAGGCCCACCGATTCCGGCCCCACATGTTATCTCATTTAATCACATCAATGATCCTTTGAAGTAAGTATTATGACTATCCTGATTTTACAGATGAGTGATAAGAGGCACTTAGAGATTACGTAACTTGCCCAAGGTCACACAGACAGTTATCAGCAGAGCAGGAACTCAACCCCACCCCCATCAGTAGACCCCAGCGTTCACTGTGTTTACTACCCCGCTGAGCTTCCCAAGCATGTCCTTGGTAGGCATTGATGCCTTCAGCCAGGTCTGGGGGGTCCAGAGCACCCTAGCCAGGGATTCTAAATGCCCTCCGCTAAAGCTGTGCAAATGCTATATTATCATTCCCTATGGGTGCCGCGATGTGCGAAAGGTTGGGAAACACTGCTGATTATACTGTACTGCCTGACTCAGACAGAAATCTGGTTTTTTTGTTGTTGTTTTTCGTGTGTGTGTGTGTGTGTGTGTGTGTGTGTGTGTGTGTGTAAGATCAGCCCTGAGCTAACACCCATGCCAATCCTCCTCTTTTTGCTGAGGAAGACGGGCCCTGGGCTAACATCTGTGCCTGTCTTCCTCCACTTTGTGTGGGACGCCGCCACACCATGGCCTGACAAGCTGTGCTGGGGTGTTCCCCGGGGATCCCAACCAGGCCGCCAGCAGCGGAGTGCGCGCACTTAACCGCTACACCACAGGGGCTGGCTACAATGATTTTTTGTTTTTAAATCAACTTTATTGAAGTAAAAATCCACATAGAATTTAATGCACACATCTTAGTGTACAGTTCAATGAGTTTTGGCAAGTGTATCACCACGCCCGTCAAGAGACAGGACATTTCTATCACCAAGTTCCCTGTGTGCCGCTTTACACTCAATCTTTTCCCCACCCCCTGCCACAGGCAGCTACGGATCTGATTTCCGTCAAAATGGATTGGTTTGGCCTGTTTCAGAACTTTATATAAATAGAGTCATTTAGTATTACTCTTTTGTGTCTGGCTTCTTTCAGCATAATGGTTTTGAAATTCATCCACATTATTTGTACTAACAGTTTCTTTGTTCATGTTTTTTGTAATAACAGCTTTATTGATATATCATTCACATAGCATAAAATTCACCCTTTTAAAGTATACAGTTCAGTGGTTTTTACTCTATTCACAGAGCTGTACAACCATCACAACTAATTTTATAACATTTTCATCATCCTCAAAAGAAACCCTGGGGCCCGCCCTGTGTCCTAGTGGTTAAAGTTTGGCGGGCTCTGCTTCGGCAGCCAGGGTTCGCTGGTTGGGATCTCGGGTGCGGACCTACACCACTGATCAGCCATGCTGTGGGGGTGACCCACATACAAAATAGAGGAAGATTGGCACAGATGTCAGCGCAGGGCCAGTCTTCCTCAAGCCAAAAAAAAGAGGAAGATTGGCAACAGATGTTAGCTCAGGGCCAATCTTCCTCAGCAAAAAAAAAGAAACTCTGTACCCATTAGTAGTCACTCCCCTGTCCTCCCTCTCCCCAGCTATTGGCAACCACTCATCTACTTCCTTTCTGTATGGATTTATTTATTCTGGACATTTCACATAAATGGAATCATACAATAAGAGGTCCTTTGTGTCTGGCTTCATTCACTTAGCATAATGTTTTCAAGGTTCATCCATGTTGTAGCATGTATCAGTACATCATTCCTTTCTATGGCTGAATAATCTTCCATTATAGGGCTATACTGCATTTTGTTTATCCATTCATCAGCTGATGGACATTTGGGTTGTGTCTACTTTATGGCTATTTGAATAATACTATTATGGACATTCACATACAAGCTTTTGTGTGAATGTATGTTTTCAATAGCCTTGGGTATGTACTTAGGAGTGGAATTGCTGGGCCTTATGGTAACTCTCCATTTAACATTTGAGAAACTGTTTTCCAAGGTGGCTGCACCATTATACACTTTATTCATTTTTATTGCTGAGTAATGGTCCATCTACCACAAATTCATCAAAATCAAAAACTTTTGGGGCTGGCCCGATGGTGTAGTGGTTAAGTTCATGCTCTCTGCTTTGGCAGCCTGGAGTTCACAGGTTCGGATCCCAGGCGCGGACTTGTGTACCACTCATCAAGCCATGCTGTGGCAGTGTCCCACAAACAAAATAGAGGAAGATTGGCACAGATGTCAGCTCAGGGCTAATCTTCCTCAGCAAAAAGCGGAAGATTGGCAATAGATGTCAGCTCAGAGCCAATCTTCCTCACCAAAAAAAAAATTTTGCTCTTCAAAAAGCACCATTATTTTAAAAAGACAAGCCATTATTATGGGAGAAAATATTCACAATACATATATCTGATAGAGGATTTGTATCCAAAATATATAAAGAACTCATAATTCAATAAGACAAATAACATAGTTTCTGGGCCAGCCCCGTGGCTCAGCGGTTGAGTGCGCGTGCTCCGCTGCTGGCGGCTGGTTCGGATCCCAGGTGCGCACCGACGCACCGCTTCTCCAGCCATGCTGAGGCCGCGTCCCACATAAAGCAACTAGAAGGATGTGCAGCTATGACATACAACAATCTGCTGGGGCTTTGGGGGGAAAAATAAATAAAATCTTTAAAAAAAAAAGGACAACAGTTTCTAAAAAATTAGCAAAAGACTTGAACAGATACTTTACAGAAGATATACAAATGGCCAATAAGCACATGAAACATGGTCAACATCATTAATCATCAGAGAAATGCAAATAAAACTGCAATGATGTACTATTTTACACTTATTAGAATGGCTAACATTAAAAAGATTGACTATCGGGCCGGCCCCCTGGCTTAGCGGTTAAGTGCGCGCGCTCCGCTGCTGGCTGGCCCGGGTTCGGATCCTGGGTGCGCACCCACGCACCGCTTCTCCGGCCATGCTGAGGCTGCGTCCCACATACAGCAACTAGAAGGATGTGGAACTATGACATACAACTGTCTACTAGGGCTTTGGGGAGCAAAAAGGAGGAGGATTAGCATGGATGTTAGCTCAGGGCTGATCTTCCTCACACACACACAAAAAAGATTGACTATCAAATGTTGGCCATGCTGTGGAACAAGTGAAACTACCATACATTGATTTCGGAAATGTAAAACAAAACAACTATTTTGGAAAACAGTTTGGCAGTTTCTCATAAAGTTGAAATGCACTTATTACACGACCCAGCAACGCCACTCCCAACATATATCCACACAAAGACTTATACAGGAATGTCTGTTTGAGCTTTATTCACAATAGACAAAAACTAGAAACAACCCAAATGTCCATCATAAGAAGAGATAAAGAAATCTGCTTTAGGAAAAAAAAAAATATTTTGTCTTTTAGAACCTGAAAATTTTCGTGTTTCCCCCTCGACTGTAAGTTCCAGGAGACCAGTTCCGTGACTATCTTGTTCACTAATGTACGCGCAGCGTCCGGCAAGGAGCAAGTGCGCAATAAATGGTGAATGAATGAAAGAATGCAATCTTGCGTACATTAATGAATTTGTGGCCACCATCCCTTGGCCTTTTATCATTCCTTCCACCTGCAATCATCCAGGCCAGGCCCGATGTGATTCGCAGCCGGCCCGTGAAGGGGGCACCCGCAAGTCCCTGCCGCGGAGACGCATCCCGCCGGGAGCCCAGGCAGCGCCGGCGGCCGGAAAGGGCCTGGGGGCCGCATCGGAGCGGAGGAAAGTACGCAGCGTCGAGCGCCCAGAGGGCGGCGGCGGGCACGCTCGGACCGACGGCGCGAGACAGACGGACAGACCGCTGAGAGAGCCTGTCGGTGGCACGAAGCGGGCGCGCGGCGCCGCAGCACAAAAGGCGGCCCCCGGCCAAGGGCTGAGCGCAGGACGGCGGGGCGGGCCGAGGGCGGCGGGGGCGGGACAGGACAGACGCGAATCCCGCGGAGGTGAGGCCGGGGGCTGTCCCGCCCCCGAGGGCAGGCCCTGAGCGCCGACCCCGCCCCGGCCCGCTGGGGTGTGGGCTCGGGCCCGGGCTCCGCTCGGCTCCCTCTGCTCGCGAACCCGCGCCGGCGCCGGCTGGGGCTGCCCGGGTGAGGGGACCCGGGAGGGGGCGCCGCGGAGGTCCCGGGCCCTGGGAATTGGGCGGGGACGGGAATGGACCCGGGCTGTGGCTCCTGATTCAGCCGCACGCTCAGATTTCGGGGTTTCACTCCCGGACGGGGAGCGCGTAACTTCCTCATTGCCGCCTGGACCCCTTCTCCTGGCCAGCCGGGCCTGGCTTGAGCCCCGGCAGCTCCGGGCCCCTTCGACCTCCCGGGGCCCCTTCCCCTGCCTTCTGCTCTGCCCCAGTTCGGGGCCATCCGGGCTTGGCTGGGTGTTGCTCGGCGCCCTGGTTACTGGACGGGAGGCGGGGCTCAGGGATTCTGGATGAAAGACCCAGGTAGGGGATGGAGGTTAGAGGCGGGTTGGTAGTGCCTTGCAGACTGATGGGCCGTAATCAGAGAGACGTTGGGAGTTGGTGGGGTCCAGGTGGGTGGGGCAGAGGGGGACCTATGGGAGATGGAGGACCATGGGGGTAGGATGAGGGGCAGGGTTCTGCAGGGCAGATCACCTCCCTGAGGCCTCCCCGTATTTCTAGGATGATGACGACCCCCGTGAGCCTCTTCCCCTCCGGGGACGACCTGGACTCCAGCCAGTTACAGATGGAGCCCGATGAAGTGGACACTCTGAGGGAGGGAGAGGACCCAGGTACACAGGGAGGACCGCCCTCAGGGAGAGGAGGAAGAGGGGGCTGAGACCTCCTGGGGTCTATACTCCTCCACTTTCTTCCCAGCTGACCGGATGCACCCCTTTCTGGCCATCTACGGCCTTCAGCCTCTGAAAATGCACCCCTTGGTGTTCGCCACTGGGGTCCCTGTCACAGCCCAGGTGGTGGGCACTGAAAGATACACCAGTGGATCCAAGGTAGCTGGGCTGGTGCCAGGGAGGGGGATAATGGGAGGGCTGGCCAGAGTAGGGGGCTGTGACCCAACCAGGGGACATCCATTCAGTTCTTCACACCCCCAGGTGGGAACCTGCACTCTGTATTCGGTCCGCTTGACTCATGGTGACTTTACCTGGACAACCAAGAAGAAATTCCGTCACTTCCAGGAGCTGCATCGGGACCTCCTGAGACACAAAGTCTTGATGAGTTTGCTGCCTCTGGCTCGGTGAGGGGGACCAAACTGCTTCCTGTGATGGGCAGGTTGCCCTCACCCTGTGGCAGCATGGGCTGTCACTGCCCCAGCCCCCATCACTCCTTCCTGCCTGTCTCACCCCTAGGCCACAACCTTCCCCACCCCAGGTACTGTCCTCCCCCAGCTCTGGCCACTGGGCCCCCTGCCCTGACCCCGGTTACCAGGAAACCTTCTCTGCTCAGCTCTCCCTGTCCGTGGTTCTGTGCCAGTATCTCAGCTGGGCTGCATGCCCAACATGCCCGTGGCAGCCTCCCCTGTTTTCTTGTCTCCATTCTCAGAGTAGGGGGCCTTCCTTCTGCCAGCCTCTAGGCCTCCTCCCCTGTCCAAGACCCCATGTCCAGTGCTTCAGGAACCCAGGCACTCAGCCTCCCAGCTCTTTCTTAACCCTCACCCCATCCCTTCCACAGCTTTGCCGTTACCCATCCTCCAGCCCAAGAGACAGGCAACAGAGAGATGCCCTCCCTTCCTCGAGCAGGTCCTGAAGGCTCTGCCAGACATGCATCCAGCAAACAGGTGTGACCAGACCTCACTCAGGTCCTCTGCCAAGGCGTTTGGTGTGCAAACGGCTCTGGTCCCATCTCTCTCTCTCTGTCTCCCATCCCTACTTTAGAAATACCTGGAGAATTACCTCAACTGCCTCTTGACCATGTCTTTTTACCGCAACTACCATGCCATGGTAAGGTTCCGGGGCTGGATGCCTGCGTCTTTTGAGGTGGAGCAGAATAATCAGACCCCCGAGGGGCAAAGGATCAGGGTCAGTAGGGTCTGAGGGGCTGAAAACCAGTCTTTCCTCTGAGCCTTTGTCTTCCTCTGCAGACAGAGTTCCTGGAAGTCAGTCAACTGTCCTTTATCCCGGACCTTGGATGCAAAGGACTGTGAGTGTCTGACACTCCTCACCCAGCCATCTGCAAACATCTGGATCTCTCCCTGCCTGAGAATGGGAAAAGCAGTGCAGGGTGCCCTGGGGGTCTGGATTCCTCAGCCAGCATCTCTTCCTGATTTTCCCCACAGGGAGGGGATGATCCGGAAGCGCTCGGGTGGCCACCGTGTTCCTGGCCTCACCTGCTGTGGCCGGGACCAAGTTTGTTACCGCTGGTCCAAGAGGTGAGGCCTGAAGTGGAATAGCTGGGCAGTGGGTGGAGTGAGGAAGGCGATCCGAGGGCAGGGAGGAACGGATGGAGCCCTTCTGCTCCAGGTGGCTGGTGGTGAAGGACTCCTTCCTGCTGTACCTGTGCCTCGAGACCGGCGCCATCTCATTTGTTCAGCTCTTTGACCCTGGCTTCAAGGTGCAGGTGGGGAAAAGGAGCACAGAGGCCCGGTATGGGGTCCGGATCGACACCTCCCACAGGTAAGGCCTCTCTGGCGTGGACAGACACCTAGTGAGCGAAGAGCCAGCTGAGGGCCCTCAGTGGGGTTGAGCAGAAGAGACCAGGGAAGAAAAGAAGGCATTGCCACCCTCCTGGAGCTGGCCATGATTTGGAACCAGGGAACTAGTCTGGCCAGTTCCCTGCTTGGGACTGCTCTTAGAGTCTGGGCTTAGAGAAAGGGGGTTGAGTATAAGCTTGGAGGAGGGACTCTTGATGTAAAAGAAAAGGAACTTCATTCATTAATTTATTCATTCAACAAACCTGAGTGCCTAGCACAATACTAGGTGCCTGGGACCCAACTGTGAATAAGGCAGATAATATGCCCTGTCCCTATGGAGTTGTGAATTAGGGACTAAGGGAGGAAATGGGAAAGAGGAGATCGCTAAAGTAGGGAGGTTTTTGAGCTGGGCCAGAGGCGTGGAGGGCGAGGATTGTGTCCATCTCATTGTTCCTGTCCAGGTCCCTGATTCTCAAGTGCAGCAGCTACCGGCAGGCGCGGTGGTGGGCCCAGGAGATCACTGACCTGGCCCAGGGCCCGGGCAGAGACTTCCTGCAGCTGCACCGGCATGACAGCTACGCTCCACCCCGGCCTGGGACTTTGGCCCGGTGGTGAGACACTGATGTCCCTTCTGAGCTTGTTGTGGCCTTCTTGACCCCCTTGGTGTTCTCTGAGTCCTTGATTCTTTTTTATCTCATTGACTCCTTCTGACCTCAATAACCTCCTCCTTTGACTTCTCGAATCTCCCTCGCCCCCTGACCTCTTTAACCACACAGATCTCTGATTCCCCTCTGATCTTTCTAACCCTCAGACTTGGTAATCTCCTCTAACCCCTGACCTCTCTGACCTCCTGTGACATTTTGAACCCTCTGTTACCACATTGACCCTCTCTGTTCTCTGTGATCTCCTCAAATCTCTCTGATTTATCTGTTCATTTAACAAACATTTTCTTTTTTTTTTTTGCGAGGAAGATCAGCCTGAGCTAACATCCATGCTAATCTTCCTCTTTTTGCTGAGGAAGACCGGCTCTGAGCTAACATCTATTGCCAATCCTCCTCCTTTTTTTTCCCC